ACGCGTTTTTCATTATCAGCGTCGAAAAAAAAAAAAAAAAAAACAATAATAAATAACCACCAAACTCTCCGTGTCCATAATATTGAGTATGCAGTGAGCGTTCGTTTGATGGCGTTTAGCGCCACGGAAATGAGGTAAATACATACTCGCTGTGCTCTTGGTTAGTTTCGTTTCTTGGCCGAGTGAATGGGTGCTCCTTCAGTCGTAATTTCTTGTAGTGGCCTCTCGCGATTTATGCACAATCGTCGCTTGATTTAATTGGGGAACGTTAATTTTTTGTTTTTTTATTTTTATTTTTGCTGGATGAGCAGGATAATTATCGCGAGAGGGCAACGCGGGAGTTGATTTTTTTCATTAGATCTAAAAAAAAACAAAAAATAATAAATAAAAAATATGAAAGAATAGAGGTTCCGTGTATAAAAATTTTTACTACAAGTATGTACCAAAGTGAAACTGATGTAAAATGAAATTGTCTTTGCTCTCGGAGTCACTAAAAACACCTCCGCTTGACTCTAATGAGGTCGAACGATCGCGCGCGTGTGCTCTTAATTTCCAATCGAATCCAATTAAAAGTCGCGCGAGTGCGCGCTTCTGTCTTTAATTGCGACGTTACAGTTGTCCCGAGAATGGCGCTTTTTCCCTGTCGAGTAAAATTTTTTCACTTGTTCAATACAATTTTTTTGTCGGTATACTCGAGAGCAAAAGGACATACAGTTCCTCCACAACCAAGCTGGGATTTTTTGTCAAAACAATATTGCCAAAAGCAAAGGTGGCGTCCCCCAATCGACTCGATTTTGTCCCGATGGAATGCAAAGCGCGCATACGCACGAAACGTTGCAGGTAAATCGAAATTCATCCCGTCGCCAGTGGACGGAGCGACAGTCCGAGGGTGGGACGGGGGATGAAAATCACTCGGGAATCGAATCAGAGTACCTTCGTACACGCCCAGTGGCAATTTCGTTTTCGCCTCCCTTCGTCTACATATATCGGCGAATTTGCCTTTTAGCGACACCCCCAGCTTCTTGTTATACTCCCTCCCGGCGTCGACAATCACTGCCGTGTGTGTGTGTACCATCTTGGGTGGCTATTAAGTACACGATGTAATACCGAAGATGAGAGAAGGGTCTTGTAGGGTGACTCACGAGTGGATTCAATTTTAAATTTTGGCAAGAACCTGAAAAATAGATAATTGCTCGTTTGACTAAGCTATTTATGAAGACATAATTTAGCTACAATATCCCAAGAATATTATAAGCGTGTACGCATGTAAACAAAAAATCAAGAGTTTTAATTAAAATTCTCTCTTCGATCGACCTGAGCAAATTACCGTGAATTATTAATTCAGGCATGAATCGACGCGTTTCAGTCTCGTCGGAGCATTTATCTACGTCCCATTCGCTGATCCGAGTCGGTGAAAAAAACCAAAGCCAGACGCATCAGCCCCCCTTTCATCCGTGAACATCTCTAAACTAAAAATCTGCGGATGGCAGAAAAACACCTATTTCCCGGCAAAAGTGCATTAAGATAGCTTACACGGGTGACTTGCTCGTTAAAAAAAAAAACGCGGAAAAAGCTCACAAAGAGAAATGGAGAGGACGAGATGACGCAGCACGGACGGATGTAAAGAAAAAAGGGAGGAACGATCTCTAGCACCCCCCCCCCTTCTTTTGCATTTGAAGAAATAAACAAACGCCCCATCGCGCTCGCAGATCTTTTTCGCGCGCCGTCTTCATATTCAATGTGGACCTGTTATTCTCTTACTTATATACCTATATACTTTTTCGTTCTGTCGAGGACAAATGAAAAAAAAAAAAAACCTCCACAATATGTACATATACAGTAAGCGACGACGGGACACGACGTGTGCAGCGTGTGTTATCTGGGCTTTGCACCTCAGCGGCGTTGGCTCGTGTAACTTTCTCTCTCTTTTTCCCTCTGTGAGATGGGGGGGGAGGCAGTCTGGACCGTCGTCGAGCTGCTGAATAACACTTTTAACAAAAAAAGTGAGGAAAGAAAAGAAAAGATAGCTAGAGAAAGAGGAAGGAAGGAAAATTCTCGAGTTTGCTGTCCCCCCTCGGCCCCCCTTTCTTCATTCCGCGTGGGGGGCGCGAAACGTCGTCATCGCGCGCAGATGTAGCGTGTATTCAGCACCGCTGGTTGATACTATATGGTACAGTTGTAGAGTACACCGAGGGAGAGGGACTCGAAAGCTGGAAAGTGTGAATGTTCTGCCAGCGTGTGTATATACATATATGCAATACACCCGCGCACGCAAAGGGGAGGAGAAAGAAGAGAAGGTCGAGAGAAAGATGTAAAAAGGGGGGACGAAGAAGGGCTAAAAGACCCGTGAGTTCGGCTCGACCCCTCTTTTTTGCCTATCCTATATTATATACGCGCGCGTATTTGTGTCCTTATGCGCTCTCGCGTGTGTTTGTGTGTGCAAGGGAGCGGGACCGAAATCGAGCGCTTTTCTTCAATAATTAGCCAGTGGCTTGTTTCTGACCCTCCAGGCTATCGTGTGTTTGTATACAGACACTGATGCGCGCATGTGCGCGACGACGATTACGGAAGCTTCACCAGTGGCATAGGGGTACGATAGCTTTTAATTTTTTTTTCGTCAGAGTCTGTATTTAGCTTTCGAACGGCCAATCAAAAGTGTTTGTTCCGCACACGGGGTGGGCTGCACTGTATGGCGTATAAAGGGGAGTTTAAACAAATTTTCAGGGCTAACTCTTTTTTTTTTTTTTTTTTTTTTTGGAAAGATTCTGGAATCGAAAGCTCGGTCTGTGTGTACAAACAGACCTTTTACAAGCTATGTGGATACACGAAAAAGGAAAAAAAAAAAAAAAACACTTTTCGGGCGAGGCGCGTGTACAAACAAATTTAGTGCGCTGTCGATAAGGCACGCACCGAGCGGCTGTTTTCTGTCTTTGATCCGTCCATCACACGGGGCACAGCCGAAAATAAGCCAGATGAAAAAGTAGCCCCTCGCACACGAATCCCGAGCATATAGTATTCATGTACTCGGAACCCTGGTGGGAGTATCACCCCGTCGAATCATGAAGCCATTGAAGGATTACGTGAAATATATCACCTTTTAGGCTAAACAATATCCACGTCTGCATAATAATGTGGAGTGCACAGTGCGAAATTCAGATTCGGGTGCGGAGTCTGCATGAATTACGCCCGAGCGCGCATCAGCTGCCCATCGTCATCATCGTTTCTTCGCAGACAGAGTTCGACGACGCGTGCATTGTAGATGCCGAGTGGAGGAGAGCTCTCGAGCGTGAAACAGAGGGAGAAGGAGCTAGATCGATAAGCTGCTGGCCCCGTGGTGTGTGGAGGAGACATATTAATGTTACGTGAATATATTATATAGAGCTATAGAGGGAGAGGATCGATCGCGAAAGAGCGATGTCACAGCTGGCTGGAGTGTAATATATATCTTGCGTCGCTTCTTCCCCCCCCCCCCCGTCGGTTGTACTTGCATATTAGAAAAGTCGGCTTCTATACTCATCCGCATCATATTTTTGCTAATTTTTTACCTCATAAAGAGGTAAGACTACTGTAACTTTCAACTTAGCAAATATGCATGATTTTCCTCTCTACTCCACGTGTAGTAACTTGTAGAGTTTCCCTTCCACCCCACGCACTTTGTCCGTCTGTAAAGTTGGAAAAGTTTGTGTTTGCGGGGATCGTCTCTTAATATCGAAATTCGTGTTCGATATGTAGTTTTAATTTGAAAATAAATTTAAAAAAAACTTGCTTGCATGCATGAGTGTGTCCGTGGTATCTATTTGATAAAGGGTGGTATGTAACTTACTGATAACTAACTCGAACCAGTGGAATTTACATTCCACAAACTGTTGTGAATTAAAACAGCCTTGGTATACTTGGATTGAAATCTCACACTCTCGTATACATACAGGGTTAAATTACGTATAAAGCTCGTGTACTAACTTGATGCAACTGATTAATTATCACTTGATTTCAAAGATTCTATTTTTACTGAATAATTCTCGGAACAAACTTTAAAGTCAAATGCCCTCTCCCCCTTAAACACGATACTCCGCTGCTGACTAAGTTAAAAAAAATAAAATAAAATAAACAAATAAACAGACAGCCTGTTTGAAGTAAAAAATAAATCCACACTAGAAAAAAAAGCTTTCCTAAAAGCCATGCTAATTTGATTAATCCTTTGCATCGCCAAAAACGATGCACCTCCTCACTCTACTCTCCCCCTCTTTTAGCTTTGATACAACACTCGAGTGTGCACTTTGTACGTAATATCGTATGCTATACGTATAACTCTGTATGACGATGCGCTCGTCAGCCGTAAAATATATTACTTTAGCCACATCACGGTGTATACACGCGTATTCTCTCTCTGCTCCGAAATAAATAAACACAGAGACCCCCGGAAAAAAAGCTCTTCTGGTTGACTTTTCTCTTCGCTCGTGTTACACGGACGAAAAGCTCCAGTTCATAGGGTACACTTGTATACGTGTATAATAGATGACACACAGACAACGCGTCCTTTTAAGGAGTCACGAGAAGCTCCCCGAAACTTGGAAAAACTCGACTGTTTCTTTACTCTCTCTCTCTCCTTTTTTTTTTTTTTTTTATAAATAGTACACACAGTGTATTCACGTTAACAGTGCTTGGCTTTTTCGTCTCTCAGCGGCTCTTTGGGAGGAAAAGACTGAAAGGCCCCGCGCCGTCTGGTCCTCCTCCTCCTCTTGTACGGTAATAATTCGCTCTTCCCTCCTCGCCATCGGCATTAGGGCTCCGCTCGAATTAAGCGCACTTTGTGCCCCAATGGAGGCACGACGACCCATCCTCCGATGTCAAAGGGACAAAGCCAGCGGACGACTAAACCTCTCTCGGAGAGCCGGGCAAATGGGATCCAATTGCAAAAGTCTTTGAACGTGGAGGAGAGACAAAAATAACAGAGCCCCGCGACAACAAGGAAGAAAAAAAAAATGTTTAATTTCCCGCAGACGCGGCTGACGCGGAGGTACCGGATAAAAGCCGGGGTACCGACGCTCATCCTACTCGAGGGCAAAAACGGCGCGGTGTTGACGCGAGGCGGTGTCGAGCGCGCCCTGGCCGACCCCGAGGGACTCGGTTTCCCGTGGAAGCCGCCGCATCCGAAGGCCACCCTCGAGGACGGGCCTCTGCTGCCGTGCGGTGGCAGGGACAGCAACGAGCCGATGCTGCACGAGGAGTTGCGCCACTGCTACAAAGCCGTGTACTTTAGCGCCCACTGGGTGAGTTTTTTTCCATTTTTCCTTTTTTTTTTTTTTTTAATACTAATCCACCTTTGATTAAAATGAACGTCGAGGTCCGGGAATCAGTAGCAGTTTGTCTTGTTGAAAAATCGTTATTGACAAGAAATGGTAACTCTTTCAGAGGATCAAAAAACTGTAGGTGTAGGTATTTACGTACATTTACGAGACTCTCAATATTATACGAATGAATTGACTGCGAAAACAAACTAAAATGAGACTTTTTTTTTTTTAAACATAATTTCACGCAAATGGAAGTACAAAAATCATCAAGCAATCACGTTTCCCTACAATAATTTCGAAATGTACATATTTCTTCAGTAAAACGAAGAATAGTCGTAATCGCATGTGGAAGAAAAAATTATTTGTTATCTCTCGTTGGTTGCAGTGCCCACCGTGTAAAGCCTTCACGCCGCAACTGATCGACACGTACCAGCGGATCCGGGAGCGGGGCCACAACTTCGAGGTGATATTCGTGAGCTCAGACAGGTGAGTCAACAAAAACACACTTTATCGGGCGATCGGCCGATGATATAATTTTCGTGTGTCGTACAAACACCGGGATAAATCTAATCTCGCCCCCAAGGCAAACCTTGGAGACGGGAGTAAATTAAATCTCGACGAGCACATGGGAACGAAATAACTTTGTTTTTACACGGTGTATATACTCCTCGGGAACATGAGTGCGTATACGTGTACAATATTTACGTGAGTCGCCTGTTCTAACAGAGATCCGTCCCTCCGATTCCTATACGAAATAGAGTCGTGTTTGTGTATACGCGTATATGGTATGGATACACACGAGGGTCTAATGGGGTTTTTACGGAAAATTGGGAGGAGCAGTCGGGCGAGGAGGGAATCCCATCGAGTGGGAATTAGGTACAGGCGTACGCAGCTACTGTAAAAGGGGGAGATAAGACCCACACGCGCGCGTGACTGGCTGTATAAATGGACTCACTCGCCGTACTTCCGTGTATCCACGGATGCACTAAATTGTCATTTACGCGTGAAAGCAGATGAACATGTTTTTTTTTTTTTTTTTTTTTTTCTCGTCCATCAATATTTTGAAATTGTACGTTATATCAAGACATTTTGTACCATGGGACTAGAATCATACGTGATACGGAGGACTTGTATGTAATTAACTTTCGAGTGGAACGGCTGTAGTGTATAGTTTATATACGTGCAAGCGGGTGTCACGCACTTCCGTTTTTAGTTCCCCGTCCGAAGACGGAACTGCGGCGTGTAGGTTACACAGCAACGACACAACCCAAAAGAGTACACTTTTACACGAAAATCGACAAGCGTAACTCGACGTTTGCCAGACGCGTACGTGATTATACCCACACACGGACGTGCTTTCGCTCCGCCAGTATACAAGGGAGGGAGAAGGTAATGAGATATTTTTCGACAAGATGAAATATACATGTTTCGAGGGAGAGACTGCGGGGTGGATTCAAACGCCGGCAATTCGTGGTGGTGAGGAAACTTGGGTTTTTTTTTTTTTTTCTTTTTTTTTTAAGAGAATCATTTTTGTTATGAATATGCCGTGGGGAAGCCAATATATTTTACGCGAACATTTACGAATGTACGAAGACTTTTCGGAGCACGACGCAAAAAATAACAGAGCTTCGATAAAAAAAATCGTGCCGATAATCGAGCGGATGTCGATGCTTTTTTGAATTATATCAGTCCAACACGGGTAGATATCGCGTGGATGAGGAAAACCGAGAGTCGCTCCCGAAACTCGCCGCTCGGCAACGAGGAAGTAGAGGGGAGAGAAACTCCGCCTTTTGTTCCCTCGGCTGTGGTTATACTTACACTTTTCTCGCGTTCCCTTCTCTGTCTGGGCAACTTATGGAAAATCGATACGGGCGCGCGAAAAAAATGTGATTTTTTTTTTCTCTTCTCTCCTCTCGGCCTAATGGGGGACGCGAAGGGAGACGGGCGCCAAGCGGACAAAGAAAGATAAAAGGGGCGCTTCGAGCGGAATAAGTAAACGAGGCTCTTTGCGCCGAAAGCGTAGTAGGTATTTGTTGTTAATTAACCGTAGAGGCTTTTGTCGAACTACTCGGGTGGAAGTAAAAATGGGTCAATTTGTGAGGTTTACGAGTCCGATGGCGCTCTGGCAATGAAAATGACAAAGTATCGGTGATTTGGTGTCTAGAGTTAATGTTTTGCTTTTCGGCTTCCATTGCCATGGTGCTCCACGATTTTACGAAAGCTATGTGTATTTATATGTCGAGCTTTTTTCCTTTGCTCTAACGAGACTGGTATCGAAAAAAAAAAAAAATCCGATCTCGAGTGCAATATGATATGTCTCCCTTTTTCACCGACTCAAATCATCTCAAAATACATCATTAAAAAAAATAACAATGGCAATAGATGGAACATTTCTTACTCTTTGGGTTGAGGGGGGGCAGTAAATTTATAATAATTGGTGAAGTACATTTTTTACATTGAATAACAAAGAATCTTATTCCATGCAAGATAAAGAGGTCTATTAGGTGATGAAAAATTTTGTTTTCAATTTTGCATGTTGTAATACATTCAGATATTGGTAAGTACAAAAACAAACGTAGTAACGTCTTGAAACTTTTTTATTGTTTTGAACAGATTTACATTTTCCAAAGCTTGGGCTATGACTTGAAATGATTTCTTATAGAGTTGACAAAGAAATTTAAGAAAATAATCAACGTGTGAAAAGTTACTCAAGTACCATTGGTTACGCTTCAGAAAATCTTATAAATTCACGTTCCCGTGTAAACAATAGTGTAAAAAAACGAAAAAGTTTTAACACCCTTGTCATATTTACCAATGTCTAAACATGTACCATGAACAATTAAATTTTCTTTTTCTTTTCTTCTTAAACAGTCTTTGACGACTATTGAACTAAAAAAATCAGGAAAAATCATTAAAAAAAAACTAAAACACAGTTCTCCACATGTTTTTCCAGGAGCGAAGAGTCGTACAAAACGTACACGGACACGATGCCGTGGCTGCGGATACCGTTCAACCAGGAGGACCGGAGGCAGAAACTCGCGAGGGCCCTCGACGTCCAAGCCATCCCGACTCTGGTCGTGCTCGACCCCCGCGACAACATAATCACGCTCGAGGGCCGCACCGAGATCCTCGAAGATCCCGACGGTCTGGTAAGAGCTTGTTCCTTTTTTTTCTCCCTCCCTTCCTTTCGCCCCTCTTGTTTTCCTCCCGAAAAAAAAAAGAAAGAATCCACGCCAAAGCCGGAATTTATCGGGCCATTGCCCGGCTTCCTTCTCCAGAGCACATACGTATAGGGGTTCCCATTTTACCGGGCTAATGCGGTCATTTTTGCGAGATTTATCCTCCCGAGGGTCCAACGCTAAACTTTTTCCACCTCATATTTATCGAGCACCGTGAAATATATACCCCGGTTTTCACGTCCAGTGGTTTTATGTTAAAAAGAGAAAAAAAAAAAAAAGGGAGCAAGCAAACGTCGTCGAAAATTAACCGAGTTATGAATGAGATAAGGGGCGCATATATCGGTATAGCGAAAAGCGCGAGCAAAGAGAATTTTTGATGGTCACAAAGGTGGGGCTCAAAGGGCTGCTTTTTTTTTTTTTTGCCGGCAAACACGTACATTTTCCTTCCTGTGCCGTCCACTCTTTGTGTGTATGTACAGAGAGACTAAAACACGGCTCGTATAATATGTGCCCACCCCGATAGAATTTCCCATGGACGAGCCGGCTGGTGAACATCCTCACGGAGAAGTACGCGACGTCTTTGCACGACGCCCCGGCCATTATTCTCTTTGTCGGTGAGTCAATACGTCTTGTGTATTTATGTATGTACACGAGCTAGGAAGTACAAGGAAAAAAAAAAAGACGAGCCACGTGCCGCTGTCGTTTTTTGTTTTTTTTGTTCTGCGTACGTAATATTTGCTGGCTTGCGTGCTCGTTTTATCTCTTTTTTTGTTCCGATGCCCCAGAGGGTGAAGACTGCGAGATACAGTTCGGCGAGAGCGTCCTGCTGCCGGCGGCCGAGATGTACAGGCGAGACCGGCCCGACTACGACCCTAACTACGACGACCCGGACGACACGCTGCAGTTCTACATAGCCCTCGACGTAAGATCTTTTTTTTCTTTTCTTCCCCCGTCCATGTTTTATTCAGTCCCGCTTCGAGGAAAATGTGTCTGGCTCGTGCATTTTTTTTTTTTAATTTTCCATTCGGAATGTGATGGTGATACTTTCGCCCCTGAGCCGCAAGAGAAGGAAAAACCCACGCGTTGATACTCGTTAGTTCAACCGTTCATTTAATTTCTCTATCATTCGACCCAGTGGAACCTCGTCACTTGAGCGGTCACCACTTTAGTATTTGCAGTAATAACTCGCTTCGCCGATACAAGATACATTTTTTTCCTTCACCCGAACCGAGTAGGTATGTATACATTGTCGATACAGTGGTAATGATTACCCGATGTTTCCGTGTCCACAGTGCGAGACCTCGGACATTCTGCGGGAGTTCGTCGGACTGGATGACGCCGTGCCACTGCTTACCGCGATCGACATACCGCGGGGATCGTACGCGGTGATGGAGGACGGGGCCGAGATAACCGTCGACTCGGTCCAGCAGTTTATCGACGGCTACAGAAGCGACAAGCTGCCGAAGAGCAAAATCGCCGCGGTTCACAAGGACGCCGCCAAGCCCGAGTAGACGCTCCTCCACCCTCCCTCCCTCTCGAGTTACATCGGATCTCATATCTTTCGCTCGACGTGACTCGACGGACTTGACTCTCTGATGTGCGAGTATTTCTCTCTGCGAGCGATTTTTGTTTCGCGTGGAGAAAGATTTCGATGCCATTTCAACATATATTTTTTCGTACGTGTACTTTTACGTTGATTCATTCGCATGCGGTAACAGAATATCGGGACGGAGCGAGTCGATAGTTTTACCCGACACGAGTGGACAGGAGTTTGAGAATATATAGCGTGTCATTGTGTAATCGTCAACAAAAATGTGTGTGTGTAATATAGTCAGGCGATCCTCTAGGGTATACATATATTAATTATATATATACATAGCGATTCGGTTTTTCTTATATCCAGCAGGTGTTGAGCCAAGTATGATTAATCGAAGAGTACAAGATAACGAAACAGTTTGTACAACAATGTCGTATCGTGTCTATTTACACAAATTATCGCGTCGTTCAATAAACAATGAAAAATTAATAAACAGTAACTGTCAGTTCAAAGTAAGAGCCTGTAAGTGATTTATGAACGATAACAAAAATGTCTGCCTTTGAATATTACTGATCTGTCGTGCGAAATTTATCATTGATTGTAAATTTTTTTTGTATATTAGATAAAACTGATTTCAGGCCAAGTAGGTACTTGGTGAATTCAAAGGTCATTTGTTCAGCATTTGTTAATTTTGATCTCGATAAAAAATTATTCAAAGAAACCAAGTATTACAATGAAAGCGTTTGTAGATCTAGATCTTTTATTGAAAAAAAGCTTACTATTTTCGGGTGTTCCAAATTACAAGTAAAACAAATATATATTTGTTAAGAAAATAATCATATAAAACTAAGTCAAGTATGAAAAACAGTGACACAGTGTTTTTTGGTCGGCTCTTATCTGGTCATTCGTCAAGATGCATAGCTCGGTTGTGCCGACTCTCGGATTAATTTTAATGTGCTTTGTTTAAAAACTCTGTTGTCACTGTCTTTTAAGAGAAAGACAAAGTATAAAATGATACTAAAAATGCGCTAGATTACATAAAAATAATGGACGAAAATTTTTATCTTATCTGACGGACGAAAAGTCAGAGATGAGAGACAATATATATTGATTCTGTACATGAAATATCTACTTAGAAAACAAAATTCAAAAACTTTGAAGGCCGAACACCTCATCTCGAATGCAAAAGTGATGTTTCATTTGTATTAAAAATGGTCTAAAGATGAACAATGATTAATATTTATAATTAATTTTAGTAACTTTTTAATTTTTAAGAAAATTTGTACCTACGATTTTTAATGAAGTAGTGAAGAAATACAAACTCACACAAATAGTGTATAATTTGATTTTTATTCCAACTAATGCTCAGAAAGCAAGCACACAAAAAAATTGCGACACACTCGTTTGCATGTACGATTTTTCTGCTAAAATAAATATATACAACATTAAAACTAAATCAATTTCATTAAGTCGCAAGGTTGAAATTATCAATATTTAGTGTTAACCTATCATTTTTGCCACTACGGCATTTTGATATCAGAAGTCACTAAAAATATTTTACAGTCCCAAGTTATTTTTTTAAATAATTGTACGCACTAGATTACATCGAAACACAAACAGTGAGACTTACATTCATGTCATTTGTGTCATTGAAATTAAAAAACATGTTGCACAGAGTATCAAATCCGTTGACTCGGTATCATTCAAATGTAAAATATATAATTGTTATAGTAACTTGTTCTCTTGAAATTCTTTACTAACTTAATAACGTTGCTAAGGCATCTAAGAACTTGGGCCTGTCTTCAGTTTTCAGTCTTGCAACTAAAATAAGAAAGGATGTTTACTGTTTCATTAAAAAATATTAATTTAATATATTGGAAACGATTGTATCATACTTGTGGTGTCGAAATAGTCCGCTTCTATTGACGCATTGGTGTTTTTAGCTGCTTGTTCAAAGGCACGACCAAACAAACTAAAAGTTTTTTTATTTAAATTTAAAAGTCGACTTTAGTGAAGTAGAAAAACTTTTGTACCAAAAAACAAACCTTCTGGGTTGCTCTTCAATCACAGGCGGTATACCAACAATAAGACACGTGCCCTTTTCGACGCTTATTATCGAGGAAGCGACCAAAGGCAAAGTGTGTACCTTTCTATTTTTAGAAGAATCAACGTATGCTCTTAATGTAAAGTTAGCCAACATGAGAAGCGCGTGAGGATGGGAAAACAGATGAAAATGCAGAATACCTTCTGACAATAGGATATATAGAAACGTACCGGCGTTGACAACTTGTTTGAGCTCTAATGTGCCTTGAGCGGTTTTAAAAATGCTGACAAGCATAGTTTTGGCTTTTTCTATACCTTTGTCGAGAATATCTTTGTTGGTACGAACAAGACAGTCGGAGGCTTCTAAAAAGCATTTTTCAGGTGGTCTATCCTTTGACTAAAAAAATATCACACGTTCAATACGAAACATGTATTTCATATTAAAAATCAAAACAAAGATATATCTTACCGTCGACTCTAATATGGCTAACATTGCATAAACAATATCGGAAGCACAATATTTAAAACGATATCCATGGTGTATTGAAAAACTAGCACACACCACCTTTTCTAAATTATACTTCTCCGCCAACTTTTCTAACATACCCTTAAATTCATTCCTATAACTGAGATCCATCGCTGAAAACTTTTGCTTAGCTTGAATGAGAGGAAGACCCATATCGGCTAAAAGTTTTTTTAATTTCTGATCTCCTTTGATAGACCAAAGGCGCATGGTAACAGCTGTCATCATTGAGTGCTTTAAACTATCTTCTACAGTCCAATGACGATACAAGGCTAGTTGAAGACTATTTAATTTGAATTTAAGGATATATACTAGTAATAATAAACAATTGAAAAGAAACTTGTTAAGAAAAGGATACTCTTTCTCGTATGAAACCTTAACAGCACTCAGCTGTTGCCGGTCTGCATCGCCTCCCCTGGTATGACTTAGTCGCGACACATGTCCCTGCAAAGTACCGGATTCTAATACACTTGTGCTGGACTCTACTTTGTTCAAAATAGCTTGCTCGGTGGACCCAACGATTGCCCACCACACCATATCTAAATTATCTCTTGACATTTGCCACGCCATTTCATAAACGATAACGGCAGTCTACAACGTAAAACAAATTTAGTCATTGGTGTCTTAAGGAGTAAATAGTAATAAATCTGATTGAACATACGGATTTTCCATAATAGCTGTATTGTGTGTAATTAAACATAATGGTATCTCTCTTTTCCTCCCATTCTCTCAAATTTCGTTTTTTCAAGATTTTATTTTCCATTAGTCGTCGTTTCTTGGCTTGACGAGATTCGTTTTCTTCATCAGAGCCATTTTCTTCCTCTTCTGCTTCTTCATCAGACTAAATGTAAAACCCGTGTATTTTATAATGAAAGATTCACAATATTTAGAATATATTTGCTTAACTTACGGATTCATCATTAAAGACGTCTTCGTAGTTTGGAATATCTTCTTCTGCTGCTTCATCTGCAATGATAAGTACTTGTTTCTCATTATAAACATTGCACAAGTCAAACGGCCTGTGACTATCAAGTATAAAAAATATCACATTTTCTTCGGGCTTGAGTATATCCACAATATCTAGCGTTCCACCACAGTTGATCATTATAACATACTCTATCTGTAAATTGCAAGAAGTTGGTTGAAAAATTTGACATTCCAAGTAAAAAAGTTGTTAGCAATACCTCTTCTGAGTTATCCTTGAATGCTTTAATCATATCACTGACTCCATGAACAGGAACAAGGGTATACACAACATTATCATTTTTGAACAAGGTTTGCAGTATTTTAGATGCACAGATGGCATCGACGTCAAAGTTAACAAGTATAAGGCATTGCTGAAAACCATATTTATTATCAAGTACTCCAATACATAGAGAGTCTAAAAAGTTGATGAAATTGTACTCACTTTTCCATTCACCACGTCGTAAAATTCAGATTGAATGTTCTTTAAAAACATGATGTCAACTCATGGGAAACAATGATGAGCTTTTTCGTTTCCTCCTGACGAACGTCGGTAGCGGCGATGTTGCTTCTCGGAGTTCTGGACGGATTTCAGCCAACCTTTGTCATATCCTTTGCCGCCAAAACTCTGCCCCCTTTTGTTGTTTGAGGTTACGTTTTTGAGCTATAACTCCCTTCAGCTCCCCTATATCTATACATGCAAAGACATTTGAAATTTCAAAACAAGTGTGTAACGTATGAACCCGAAAATCTAGCAAAACAAAACTTTACAGGCACGAAAGATTTATTTCCGCAAAAGTCGAGAGATAAAGCACGATAAACATACCTGCTGACTGAAATGTTTCCAAGTTGATGAACGATTAAGGTAAAGGTCAACGGCACTTGATCACAACAAACGAATTAAAAGACGCCAATTTTGATGCATAAAACACACATATACGTAGGTAGCACTGACAGGAGCAGACTATACTTACTGGCCAAACTGAAGGCTCCGATTTTTGCTCTCCTCTCGCAAAAAAAACACACACACAAGTATCATAACCAAAACGAACTGGAGCGATGGTAGCGCTGCTGGTGCGTATATTCGCCACAGACGTCATAGTACCAAATTGTGACGGTCAAAATCGGGTGTGAAAGGCGCGTGATTTGGTTCGGGTCGTGGGTCCCCGCCGCCGTCGTAGTTCGTCGCTTGGTGCAGTCGATGGCGGGAGAGTTTTGAGCTACAACTCAAACACCTGTGAGATGCCAGTAAGTGGCGATAGACTTGGTGTGTGCTCGAGTAGTATAGATTCGAGCTCAAGAGAGAGAGAGAGAGAAAGAGTGTAGGCACACGTAGGGGGGTCTCCCCCATCAAGGATATATATATCCACTACATACTCTCACTCCCCGGCATGCCTACGCCAACATTATTTGAACGGCCGTTGTTTAGTTCACTCCCGTCTAACGCTGCGCGAAAACACCTTTCGTTTTTCCCGTGTGCTCGCTGCATGGTAAGATGTTACATACACTTACCAAGCACTGCATTGGTGTGCGTGGATAACTTGTACAAGTTTGTTTAGGATTTTAACTCCTCCTTTCTTGTTTGCCATCGAGGAACAAGGAGTCGGGTAGAAAAAAAACAAACAGTGCATAATGTAGGGTGCGAGTGCTTAGTATACATACCATTTAACCAATTTACCAGTGTTTTTTTTTTCACGCGGAACGGAGGAAACGCCGAGAGAAATCAATGAAAACTGCGTTGGTCGCGAGTGCTTAATCAGAACCGTGAAAGTCGTAGCGGGGGAAAAAAAGCAAAAAAAACCGCCCCTCTCTCTCTCTTTTTTATTCGGAAAAGTGCGCGTAACGTCGTCGAGGGGTATAAGTATGTAATGTCGTGCACGAGGTGACAATGTCCGTAACGACGAGTGTTTCCTGGAGGAGGAAGAGGAGGCGTCTGCTACTGTTGTCGCTGCTCATTGCCGTCCCGGTCTGCTGTTGGGGCTACGCGCTGGATGACGAGCTCGCGCGGAGGGATGCCACCGCCGGAGGGACGATGACGGGCCAGGAGCTACTTCCGGTCGTCCTACTCGACGATGTTGGCTCAGGTAAGCTTTTTTAAACCTCCCTTTGATCCACATACATACGCACAAAATAATTCGCGCTCTCGAAACTCGTTGGGAGACTTATTTTTTTTTTTTTCTCGCGCGCTACGAGAGATCGTAAGCGCGCAATGTGTGTACATGTACACTTATGTGTGTGCATATGCACACGTGCAAGCCGTACGGTATAGCTATACAGAGTCGGTGATTGCAAAAATCGCCTTTTCCGCCGCGGTAACGCCTGCCGCGGCTCTTGGTATCTACTGGTTGTTTATTATTACATTCGTGTCACGCCTAAATTCCCACGGATGGAGAACGAACGCCGCACGTATGTACAGCTACATATATGTACTCTGCACCCATATTACCTGCTATTACTCCTCTTACCGTATACACAGAGCTGCTTTGTATATCTTTATTCCTTTTTTTTTATTCGTTCAAAATCTGACTCCGAACACGAAGCTGGGATGTTTTGTCGATTTCGCGGAAGCGTTGGGAGTTATCGTCCCATATATTCGACGTGAATTTGACAAAGTAACAAAAGAAAAATACATAAGCATACGAAATTCGCATTTTCATCGATCCCCCGTCTGCGGACACAACCGCTCCCATCATCCTTTGTTTTCAACATCCGAGAGTGAGAGTAGTGATAATTATGATTTTTTTTGCCCCCCACCCGCGCACTACGTACATAATGCGGGTATACCTAATGGATCTCGGGCATCGCTCAGTTTTCGCACGTACACAACGCGGGGGTTTACGACCGACGCCGAGTGAATACCCAACAACGTCCGAGGACATCACCCACTCCGCCTCTGCTATTGAGTCTCTCTCTTTTTTTTTTTTTTTTTTTTTTTCTTACTTTAGGTGCATTTAATTCATCTTGTTCTCCTTCAATATCTCGAGGTACTTTTAACAGTTTTTTTTTTTTTTTTTTTTTTCTTACTTTAGGAGAGGCTCTATTATTAATTATTCATGCGCAAAACGACGCACACACGCCGTAGAGCCATCTTTTTCTTTATTTTTTGTTTCAATGCTACATACCTCAGTATCACATACACACTTTTTGGACAAACTCGTACGATGGCTCCATCCTTTCTCGGAGGCGCTATTCAAATCCAAGAAGCAAATATATAATGGGATCTCGAGTTGGGCAATTTTTACACCGAGAAACGTGTAAGCCGTGTATGAGGATCCCATTGAATTTCTATGGAAAAACAACGGGCCGCCCGAAACAATTAAACGCGAGGGACTTTGGGGCGCCCCCCAGATATGGGAACCGATCGCCGTATACCGACAATGGGGTTGCGCAACCTGAAAAAGGATTATTTCGGACAAACCACCTATATGGCGCACTTATATATATATANTTTTGTACCAAGTTGTCTATGAAAAAATTTTTTTTTATTCCAACATATTTAGAATATACCTTAATTTCAATTAAAAGGCAAACCTAACCTTGCTCTCTCGTAAGAGACCATACAACTGCTGTACCTGTCACTTTTCGTATACATGTGACCGACGTTTAGTATTTTTTGCGAAAAAGACGCTGTGGGCATACTATTGATCGGCCCTTCCTGTACGAAATGACCCCTTGACGAGATGCGCGAGTATATAACCCAGAAGGGGCATACACACGTATTAAATAAACACACCCAATGTACCTACGTATACATATACAAAAGAGGTGGAGCAGGGAAGGAGGGAAAAAAGAGAAGGGTACATATTTATATGTACACGTGCAGTATAGCGCTAAAATCGCAAGCTGTACCTCGCGGTGAACGTCTGAACTCCAACATCGGCTTTTCTAATACGTACGAGACTTTTGCTTATGGCTCGTGTATAAAATACGGGTGCACGTATACACATGTATATAATATAAATATAGGTTTCCGCGCCAAAGCCTGCAGCCTCCGCTTGCGTGAAAGTCTCTCGAGCCGTACACACGCAAGTATACGTGTCGTACGTATACATACGCCGCGAAATCATTTGATGGATGCGTTTTGTTACAAGTATATATATATATATATATACATATGTATAGGTATACAAAATGATCATCTTTAAAGTGAAATGGCTCGCGAGGGGAGGAGAAAAGGGTGTCACTATAGAGAGGGGCCTTTCTCCGCGCGAGCCTCGAGGGCCTTTTTTTTTCTTTTCTTTTCGCGCAATGATGTGTCTTTCGCTCACGCGATCTCGAATCATTATCATTATTACGCGGGTGTGTATGTATGAGCGAAGCGAACTTCCGCGATGTGTATCTATATATATCTCGTGGATTACATGGGCCCCCTCTTTCTCTGCTTTCTCAATGACCCGAATTTCCGGCCCGTATGTGTTATATTACTGTGCGGCTTTTTATTACGCGCGCCCGCGAGTGTGGATATTATATAGGTTTGCAGCTTTTTTTTTTTTTTTTTTTTTTTTTGTCAATTCGCAAAAGTCGCCCGATATTACATGGCTGGAAAGCCTTTTCTTCTCTCTCGTTTTATTATTCGCTTTACAATATAACTAAGACCAGAGCAATAAACACACAATTTTCTCGTGTTGAATAATCATTCCTCGCTGGAAAACACATATGTATATGTATGTATCTCGATTATTCTCAGGTTGAGCGTGAAATTGAAAAGTAAATGCGTTTGCATCGGCACGGCAATTGTGAAATCAAACAATTAAAATAAACAGTTTTCGAGCGAAAGCTATATATATTCACGAGCGTGTGCTTCGGACGCGTGTCTGACCAATACCATGGCTGTATCTACTGGCGAGTGTCCGACCGATACCGGGCACTCTCTCAAATTGCCACAGTTTCTGTATTGCTTCCTCCATATTACACCTTCGTGCTTATGTCACGGAGGAACGAACGAAACGAAGGAACCAACGCAGTGCCAAACGTTATTGCTGGTGTAATCTGTAGTGATTAATCGCGTAAAAATCCAATTTTCACCGAATCTCCGCTACATGTGTATAATATATATACGCCAAGTGGAGCGCGGAAAATTGCAACAACATGTAACACATTTCGTGCAGGAAATCCTAAAAACCAATTAACCCGCGCTACATACACGTACGCTTCTCTAACCATTATTATCGCCATCTGTGTACGTATATATGAAAGAAAAAGACAATCGACGAGGGGAGAGAAAGAAAGAAAAGTTACGTGTACCAGCGAGCCATCGGTAACGTTTGTATATATACATCGACCACACATCTATATGGTCGACCTCTCCTTGCTCGTAAAAATAACCTAACGGCCAAGAGGATGAAATGCACGGGCTCTCGGAGCTTTTCGCTTGGTAAATACACGTCACCGAATGGGTGTAATCAAGGGCCGTCGACGAGGACAGGGGAAGAAAAAGACATCCGCGCAGCTTTCTCTTAACGACTCGTCGTCGGTTGTACCTACTTAACGAGAAACGGGGAAGCCCTCGGTAACACAGCAGCGACGATCCGTCCCGGCGGATGGAAATTTTGCGCATAGAAAGGCGGAAATCGCTGCTATACTCGCTCGTCTTCCCTCTCTCTATCTCATTTTGTATGTTTGTGTATACAAGTAGTGGCTACTTGCTTATTTGCTCTGAGCTGACGTGCGTGTGTGCACCTCCGCAAACAACCATACATGTATATCCCGCGAGGACGATCGCTAAGTGAGTTACAGCGATATCGCAATGTGTACAGTAGCGAATAATACATGGGCATGCGCTTTCCATTCGTTTACTTTGGCTGCGTGAGCGTACCGATGATTATTATTATTATTAAACGTGTACGCGCATCGAGCGTATTTCGAAAGTCTTGTTTGGAAGAATTTCTTTTTTCACCGGCGTACGGGTACTCTTTGATGCGAGTGTCAAGAGCAAACCTAAAATTTATCCTCTTCCGGTGTCTGGTCTTTGGCGTAATTAACGAGTTACTTACCCTAATCAT